AACGACTTTGATATCACCCAGTGCCATCCACTTGGAGTGCATTGTTTTTGTAAGTGATTTTTATAGGTAAGCGATCATGATAGCTTATAGTTGCATATTCTTTCTATATAGCAGTGTACTCAGTGATCTACCTCGGTAATGTCTTGGTCGAATTTAGAAAGCGTAATCTTTTTACTGTTAGTCTGACGACTGCGCACCTGAACTTATGTGACACCAGCAACCAAGGCCTGTCTGTGAACCCAGAAATAGTTAGCTAACAAGGCCGTCTGCACAGCTGGGGTCTGGAAGACTTCTTTTAACATTGAAGGCAAATCAGTATATAAGCACACAACGTCATAGTGAGGAAATAGTCGACAAGACTGTATTCCTGACATGAAACCGAGGGAAAACTAAGAAGACATTAGGCGGGTGACATCAGAAAGTTGGTAGAGCTGAATATCATTTACAGCATGACAATCGCATGAAACAGTGAAATACCATGTCAGATTTACTACGCTACCTACTCATTGAACAAAAAATGCTGTCGTCTATCTTGAAGTGGGTATACTGTTACAAAATATTTTGTATAGAGTTGCAGTTGTTTCCTTGGCTACTTATTTTGCCATTTTCCTTGACCAGATTTGAAGTAAGTCCATTTGGGTATTTAGAAATGGCTAGAAAATGTTATAAGGGAAGAGCACCTAAGGTCGGCCAGTTAGCAAGCCTTCATTACCGAAGAAAGCGACACGACAGATGACAACTGTTCTTCCTCCCGTTAGTGGAAGTAAAAGAAGAATAGTTACCTAGTTAACTCAAAGATGTCGAATGCGAACTAGAACTATTAAATTTCATGCCATCTTATTTGTTTAGAGCCAAGATAAACGGCCTCATAGCGGAAATAGAAAAACTGAAGGTGGACACTTTTCATTACGAACAAGAATGTGTGAACTTGTCAGCGTACGAAAAAAAGTAGGCGTATACTGACGCTGAATGTAGTTAAATGACGTTTTAAAGGGCAGAGGAACTGGCACGTGAAATTCGAGATCTTCAGGGAGCATTGGCCGACTACAACATGGTAAGAGGTCTTAGATTTACATCTCAAATTTCCTGTAACGAATAACAAAATAATTTATGAACTGCCGAATATATTGCTTTCCTTCAAAAGAATAGCAGCTCTTATTTTGATGGTTAAAATAATTTTTCTACCTTACATGCATTCGCTTTCAGTGATCGCCTTTTCTTTCGAGTGACAGGGACAGCTGCATAGTAGGCTTTACCAATAGTGTCAGTCCTCGGCCAACGGGACAAGCGCTATTGGCTAGATTCAAAGATGAGAGGTACTCAGTATATTCGAGCTTCCTTGTCCTTGGTTGGTTTTGCTCATTGGCTGCACGCTTATACCTTGTAAAGAAACTCAATCTTCCTCCCAGTTCTGTGGCATCCTGACTACATTTTAGACCATCGCCTACGTGATCTCTCGCTTAGGAAAAGAAGCGACACCTCAGATTGATGTATTCTGAAGCTTGTAAAATTTCCTCACACCAGCTCTTATTCGAATGAACCTTATTTCTGCCGCAGCATCCGAGATAGTTTTGTTGCGGTCAATATTCAGTATTTTTGACCATAGGTGAACATTCGTGTGCAAACAAACTTTAAGTGAGATAGCTTTGCACTTCCAGCAGCAGCTTCAAAATGCGTAATATTGTCAAGATAATTCCTGAACAGGATATCGGTCGCAAAGCAGAGAGCGTCGCTGTCTTACACCCTGTCATTAGCAATATACTTTACATTTTACGAATAAAAACTACATCAATATGATTTTAATGCGCACGTCGGAGCAGACGTTGAAAAGTGGAACGGCGTGATTGGGAAAAACGGCCCTAGCG